ATTAATTGAAATAAGAGGGTCTTATTGCGGGCGCTTTTTCGTGGTTCCTTCTCTTCAATAAGTCAACAATCACAGGGCAATTCTATTTTTGAACTGTATTACCTATGAAGTGTGGTCGCGGGAATTGCCTTTAAGGTGTTCGCCACGGTTTTTTCCGCGTTTTTCTTCCCTGGAGAGTTCTTCAGCGACTACAGGTTTGTAAGTGAGCGCCACTATCCGCAATATACAATCGCGGGGTTTGTCTTCAATTGGAACCTCATTTCTAATACTAGCGGCCAGTATAAAAAACAAATTCATGAACAGCTCACCACAATTGGAGGGCCGAGACATTGACATGTGACTTGCCTTCTTCTCTGAGATCGACGGTCGTCGCCTAGTCCTGAACAATCAGTTAGTTTCATTCATGTTTTTCTTTCCGACATAGGAAAAGCCCGAGGAAGACGTTTCAATGCAGAGAGATTTGACGCACGGGGAACCACCCCCTCATGCCATGGGAACCGAATACTGAAGAAATCTAACAAGTACCGTGCCATCGGGATTATAACCATGGACACTTCAGTGGTCTGAAGGGACTAACCCAACCGACCATCTCACTTAGGCAAATAGTCATAAGAATGAATTCATTTTTCTAACGCGACTTGTGCACTGGAAACGCAATGTTCTCGAATACCTGACCTATTTGGTGAGGGACATTAACCATGGGGCAAAGGGGGCGTTTCGCACTGCGTGGCCTTATAAAGGAGGTAGACGTCACGTTCAAAGGCCGTCCCTTCTAGCTCTGGATATCACGAAAAAGACCCGATGGAGATGTCACTCAGGACCTCGTGTATGCTGACGGTATTGCCCGGATAGTGGACATCAAGGGAGAATCCGAGGCGGACTAGCGTGGGTGGGGGCACCAACTAGGAGTCAGCGAAGATTGTGCAGACCACCTTGTAATGACCTGCAACTTCTTCTCCTTGAAGTTGTTCTCCAGCCCTAACTTGCAGCTTCACAAGAGTTTACAGGCCTCAGTAAAGCGGCACCTATTATTTATTTATTTATTTAACATTGCACTCAAGGTGCTCCTTTACAAAAAAGAAACGATCAACTAGAATACACATTAGCAAAAGCGTAAAAGTTACTCGCCAATATAACTTAAACCACGTGCCCACATCATTCTGAAGTTAAAAAGAATATAGCAGGGAAGGGTGTCGCCACAATCAAGTTAACCATTTATACAGATGAGAATTTTTTAACATTGTCAGCACAATACTTATGTGGAGTTATTTGAGAGTGATAATATTTGATGAAAGGTCAAAAAACCAGATGGAACCCCTCGTGTTATCCCATGGGTACCGACTAGATTATCACACTCTCATTGTGCCCATTTCCGATTTACGTTTACTATTAGTCAACGTGAAACTGACATGAACTTACAAAAGGAACTAGGGATAGTGCGATCCCCCCACCCACCTCCTCCAACCCGAACAGCGTCGGACAAGGTAGAGTCATGTCCTTTACAGACGCTGGACGTTTAATGGAGGCTCGGTCTGGCGCGGTGGTTCTACACCTATTCGGGCTTCCAAACTTAGTAGACAAAAGGCCAGCGCCGGGGCCAAACCCATTCCCCTGAAAGGTCTGGCGTCCACAAGACTGTACAAAGCGGCAGGAAATACTTGCTAGCTATTAGTCCGAAGTGCTAGCTGTCAAGCTTCTGAGATCCGGAGAATGCATAGAACCCATCAAAACCGCTATAGATGAGTAACCACTGGAAGAATTGAGAGCTTCGGCACATGGGGCTGGATAACAGCATGACTTGGTCTGTTCGCCCCTTGAAAAACGATGTTAAAACGAATGGGAAAGACTGAAATCACCCGGTATGAAGGCATGATTCCTCTTGAATTCATATGGCTGTTGTTCCTATTGAAAAACCTATGCACATTGAGAAATTTGCTGCACAGCTGACGATAGCGCGCGACTGCGCGCCAAGCTACGATTGTCTTGTCCGTCTCCCCATCCCATGGAGGCCAAGCGGATGCGGATGTGCTTTACGGACGCCGTAGTGTTCCCACGAACCTCATCCCTCGTGTTATCCCGTGGGTACCGAATAGATCACAACACCCTCATTGTGCCCATTTCCGATTCCCAGACAACAGACTTCTCATGAACAAATGAACTGCGCAGAAGTAAGATGGTTTTTCTGTGAACTAACTGCGATGTTTCCATCGCCGTCTCCATTCGGCGGCCATGCCACAGGTCATTGGCCAGTGTGGTTCCTTTCTGCAGTCTATACACCATACAATCCCGCATTCACACTGCGCACATTTGTACTCTGAAAGAACGAGTTCAGTTCGTTGTAAGCTGTCTATTATACGTGATTTTCTAATGAGTACCGTTAAGGTCTGATGATCTCGACTGTTTGCTCACAGCCGGGACATTCACGAAGGTCTACATTGCCCATGGCTTGTTTGATCAGCTTCACAGCCGTGTACTGAAAGAGAGATCTCAAGACATAGAAACCTTGCGGCATGGCTCATTCTAACCTTTGTGTAAAGTTGAATAGTGGAAGAGGAAGAACTGAAGGCAGCACATCGTAGGAGGTGATATCGGCAGGAATGATAAACTGAAAGAAAACGACAAATCGGTAACAATGTCAAGTTTGACCTGAGTTATGAAGATGTTTTGTCGCTGTTCGGCTCGGGAGGAGTAACCGTAGCCTAAAACTGCGAGTAATATCGAAGGCTTGCGTTCTGTGAACGCACATCGCGAGGTGAGTAGTCCGCAACTGCAGAGCATGTGATTTTGAAGACATTCAAGAGAGTTCCAAAGTGTTTTATGAGGACGGTAAGGTCCTGCCACCACAAGTAGACCTCGCCCTTGCTAGCGCCCCTCCTCTGTCAAAACATTTAATCAGCCCTTTACAACGGTAGGCTCTCGATCATTTGAGCTCAACATATTGCCATCTCTTTTTCTGCGCTCAGTCCGTCTTCGTTGTGTCCTCATTCAATCTTTAAAAGCAATAGCATCTTTTTAGGACGCTTACGCTAGTTCCCACACGGAACACTCCGAAACATTTTGTATATAGACTAGAACTCCGAAATTCGACCAGAGAAGGACGCATCATAACAATGCAGGAGGTAAGACCTCATTGACCTTCCGATAGGAAAAACCGTGATATGCAGCTAGAATTTTGTACAGGAGCTTCAGTTGGATAAGAAATCCAGTCTAGTTTGCTGCTGATGCTCGGTCTGTCTCGGTTTGGCTCGGCGCCAGCCCTTTCTCCACCGGTTGTGGGAGCACTTCTTTCTATAGAAAACTGCCTTACCGGAAGGTTGATCGGTGTACAGTCCACACGAATTTGATGAATCGCCGATTGGTACACGCATTGCCGGCACAACCACTCATCGTCCATTTCGTACAGTTTATTAATGCGATCACAGCCACAACTACCGCATTTCTGCAAGTATTTTGCACTCTATTTGGAGAAAGAAGTACCTGTAAAGGTACCTGTACTAGTACCAGTAAAAAAACAACATACCGCTCCTGACGGAATTGATGGAAGCTCTCCTGGAGGCGACTGGCCGAGATCCTCGAAGGAGTCGTCGTCCACTTGGACACATTCACCTCTCAACATGCTGACCATCTGTTGGTAAGTGATTCGATGAGTCTGAAAGTGCAAGTATCAAGGAACATTCTCATTTAATATCGACTGCTGTTTAAATTTCCCTCATTGTTTCAACTCTTCTAGTTATAGTAATGGAGAGCGCTAGCGAGGTCTACTTGATATCAGGAGAGGAGGAGGGAGCACCATCCCCCTCCTCCTCTCCTATCAAAAAAGGATGCATGCAGAATTACTCGCACTAGTGGTTCAACTGATATCTGTGCTGTGCGAAAGTTGGCCTATAATGAAGGGGCTGGAGGGAGTGGAGCCTCACAGAGGTCCAGGAATCGGGTACGATTATGGAAAAGTAGGATCGTTACCTGTTTTCCTAATAAACATGCGCTAAGGAAAGACGCGTTGAATCACAAAGAAAATTACTGAAAACATACCGAGACCTATGAAGTTCCTAAGCGCTGAAACATACGGTGCTGGCTCTTTCCGACTGGTTTGAAATGACTTGTCTACGAACTTTCCAGCACTGAAAAGTTGAAATGTACAAGCCTCATGATATGCAGTCGTTATCACTGAGGTCACTCAGGGCGTGTCAGCAGCCTGGCCTTTGCTGCGCGCAGGCCCATTTTCCATCAATCGTTGCGGCTTCGGGTGCACAGTAAATAAAAGGATAAAGTCTTCGCCGTTGATCAATCCCTTTGTGGGATGCGGCACGCATTCTACTTCCATTCAGAATCGTAGTGGCTTATTGAATGCGATGTGGCCTATACAATGACTTGCGGGGCCAGCCGATGTACAAGTCAGTGTTTTATCCTCCCAGACGAATCTGGTACCAATTTACCGTCCCCGGAGGGTAGAGAGGCTTTGGTTGGCCTAGTGCGAAAGTCGACCCACAGATTTGAAACGAGTGCCAAGCTGCGCAGTGGAGCGCGCCACTTGTCACTACACCACCTCCTGTCCCAGGTGCACAGTAGTGGTGGAAAAGGGACTGACGCCGCGCAAAAACCCACGTGCCGCGGACACGCCCCGACCGACTCCAGTGATCACGTCTGTAAACAGCACAAGCCTCATGATATAATTGCCCATAAGGAACACAAAACAACGTACAGTGCTTTCCATCTCTGCGGAAGCCGAACGGTGCTTGCCACCAAACTCTCGATATTCGACACATCACACTTGGTCAAATGTTTCTTGAACTCCCTCCAGTTGAAACCTTTCTCCGCCGGAATGGTGGTGTTCAGGTAGACTCTGAAGTGGGAAAGCAATTACGGCCACGTGCACGCTTTGTCTAAAAACTGTTCAGATTTGATGTGTTCTGCTGCGACAATGGCGGAAGTGAAGCCGGAACACGCAAGAACCAAAGTAGCAGTTTGCACGATCCTTGCTAAACTCCCATACAAGGTCGGGACATTCTGGTACTCGTCGATCACAGCAGATGCTTCCTTGAACCCTGTCTAGTCCTATGGAGTTCAGCAATACCAAGAGATTCATTTACACTTGACAGTAGTTTACAGGTCCTACCAAAGTGACACAGGAACTACACCCCCATATCTCGAAGTAAGGAAGGCGTGACTGCTCAACATTTGAACGTGCTCGCAGCAGCGCTTCTGATATTTTCGTTTGAGGATGACTATGCCTGTGTATAGCATAAGAGGGGACTATAGTAGCCACTAGTAGAAATACCTCCCATTCCATCTTCAGAGGAAGTATACAGCCACGCCCCTCTCATCCCCGAGATATGGAAGAGAATCTTGCTCGCTGTGGATGCTGGGGCATGCCAACGGGATAGGGTTCGGCTCGATGTCAGCCTGTTTTCCAGAAATGTTGTCTCTTGCCTACTTCAGCAACTGGAGCGCCACACCCATCCCCCCTCCATCACATCCCAGCATCCGCAGAAGAAAGACTGCAGAAAAGCAGCAAATGTGCAAAGTGCCCTCCCCCTTCCCTTCTGAGCCGAACAGTGCTGTTTAGAGATAGAATGTAGCTAATTGTAAGGGTTACACAGAAGTAAGGAGTGTTGTTAGCACGTCGGGTATCCCCGTACCAGAGGAGGAAATTCCGCGAGGGTTCGTATTTTCCAGATTTTTTCGAGGAGCGAGGCTTGGTTATATGTAGCACAGCTCGAAAAAAAGTACAAAACACGACTCCCTCGAAGTCTCCTCTTCTGGTAAGACCCTTCCTTGCCATCTTACCTGCACCATTTCCTATATTCTTCCTAACTTTCTACAGCTTTTCCCGGTTTTACCATTAATTTTTCACTCTCCC